TTTCTGCTTGTATACAAGAGTTCGAAGCCGAGCTTCTTCTCTGACTTCAGCAAGCAGATCAAGGTTTTCCCAAAGCAGCTGTCCATTTCGTTCTTCGTCGAAATGGGTGACCCGGAAGCTTGGGACTCCTATCTCAATAGGGATGACTGCTTCGGTACCAAAGGCCAGGTGGTAGGGTGTTTCACCTATTTCAATTAATTATAACTTTAGAACGCGCTTTACGCGTTATGCATATTTGCTTCTAAGGGAAGGCGTAACAGAAGAAGTGAAATACTATAGAAATTAATCAAATAGATTTGGTTTAATGTAGTACCTGTGGCAGTTCAGCTCGTGGTTCTGTATGCCCATAGGACGTTGTTGAGCTCGTCTGCCCACTTGGCCTTATGCTGCTCCAATCTCGGCCTTATACCTTCCAGAATGCATTTGTTAACAGATTCAACCATGCCATTGGACTCCGGATGGTAAACGGAGGTGAACTGTAACTTGATCCCATAACTAGAGCAGAAATCTCGAAATGAGGAGCAATTAAATTGAGTTCCATTATCAGCCACAATCTAATTTGGGATCCCATATCTGCAGAGGATGGAACTGAAGACAAAATCTTCAACTTTCTTAGAGGTAAGACTGGATAAGGGTCGAGCTTCAACCCACTTCGTGAAATAATCCACACCAACAATCAGATGGGTGACACCACCAACCCCTTTCACAAATGGGCCTAAGAGATCCAGTCCCCACTGAGCAAATGGCCACGGTGCTACCAAGTTCGTGAGTTCTTCTGCTGGTTGGTGAGTCAGATGTGCGAAGAATTGACATTTCGGGCATTTCTGAACAAAGTAAGTGGCATCTTTGTACATGTTTGGCCAATAATATCCTTGCCGTAAGACTTTGTGAGCCAGAGTCCTGGCACCAACATGGCTTCCACATACACCTTCGTGCACCTCCCAAAGTGCATATTCAGATTCATAAGGGCTTAAACACCATAGAAGAGGAAGTGAGAAAGATCTCTTATACAGGACTCCATCAACGAGTGTATATCGGGATGCTTTCTTCCTCAATTTCATTGCCTCCTGTCTGTTCTCAGGTACGATCCCATCTCGTAAAAAGGAGACAATCGAATCAGTCCAGCTCGGCATGTCAGGGTCTGTGCTAATCTCCATTACCCGAGGCTTCATGAAGCTTGGTTCATCTAGGACCTCTACAAAAACAGATCTGGAGCTTAAAGAGCTATCAGAGGCAAACTTGGAGAGTGAATCTGCCTGTTCATTCTCAGCTCGAGGGATCTTATTCAAACAGAATTTCTGGAACTTGCATTTCAGCTCGGTCACCAAGGCTGCATATTTCACCATCACAGGATCAACGACTTCACAGATTGAGTTGATTTGGTTTACTACCAGCTGAGAGTCACTATATACTTGGATTGCACAGATTTTCAACTCCAATGCTAGTTGTAGACCAAGTAGCAGAGCTTCATACTCAGCCATGTTATTTGTCGCATCAAAGTTGAACTTCAAGGCATG